CGTCTTAAAAACGACGCCGCTGCATCAACATTTCTTTCAATTACTTTCGAAAGCAATTCCGGAAATTAAACAAAGTACGGAGGTCAATTTCGACAACACGTAATCATTTTCTTCTGCCAGCCTTTCTTTTTCTGCTTTCTTCTGCTTCCTTTCTTCCTTGCTTCTCTACTTATATTTTCTCGTTATTTTTTATTTTTATTTTTTTTCCTTTCCATTATTCGCTGACTCCGTTAACAGAAAAGAATCCTGTTATCGACAAAACCACGACGCAGATCTTGATATCGTAAACCCTAGAAATCGAGAAAATCACTGCTGTTTGATCTGATCAGGTAACGCAAATCATCTTATCTATTGTTTGATCATAGAGCTGAACCGATCGATGTTCGTTTGCGTGTTTTTTTTGATGTTCTTCTTGATTGGTACCTCCAATAGTGCTTTGTAGAATGCTTAAATCTATAGAAATGTAGGCATTGGCTTCGGTTTGATTCTCTGGCAGCTTAGAATCAGTCGTTGTTACTCCACAATGACTGGAACTTATGTATGCATCCTTTTTATGTGTTGTAGAAGCTGCAAGGTTTCGCTTGGAGGAAGTGATGGTCTGGGATGACCATCGGTTTCTTAATTGTGTTGTTATGAGGTCTTAATTGTTGTGTGAATCTTGGTTGGAAGTATGAACATAGTGAAGGGGGTCGCAGACCTTCTTCGAAGGACGTCTAGTGGCCAAACCGGCGAATCCAATTCGGGTTCGCAAGCTGATAGGTTCTCTCCTCCTGCTCCAAGGATCCGCTTCAGGTATTCATGCTTTGTTACTTTGCACTCTAGCTGTTGCGTTTAATATAGGGGAAGTCTTTATTATTTAGGTAAAGAACTTAGCTAGGTCTGTTATTTTCTGTATCCCGTAAATCTGAAATTCTTTAGTGGTTATGATTGATGGAGTTGTCTTTTGCTACCTGTGAAAAAAGAAGCAGCCGCATTGGGTGTTCTATATGAATGACCAACAGAGTATCCTGGATGGATATTAGCTGTATTAGTGAATCTAATGAATGATCTAAAGCACTACTTGAGCGCTGAAGGCAGTTAGTTCTAAACATGTTCATCAGTATGGCCATGCAAAACACACCTCAATAAAATCTGGAATCACTTTAGATACAAGTGAAATGGAAGACCTACTAAATGAAGTTTTTTTGACCAATATTTTGCCGAGCAAACATTGCTTGTGATCTTGTGGTTGCTAGAATTTGTGACCTTGAGAGGATGGTAAATGCCTTTTAGGGTCCTTTATTATCATTTGTAACCCAGCCATATGATTGAACAACTCAATGTTGCCCCTACCTGTCCTACCAAGTATGTCTCAGAGATCACTCATCTTGTTATGGAATGGAAGGTTTGAAAGTAGTGGTAAGTGGGAGGCCAGAGAGCCTCATCTTTCCATATTATAAAGACCCTTGTCAGAAATGCATGATTTGATGCACTTATTTTGTTTACCAAACTTTTTATCCAACAACTCTATTTTTTACTGAACCGAACCATTCTTGGTTTATTTGTTTATTCACCGCATTTGTCATTTTGACTCCAGTGAAATAGGTGATGAGGCAGTGTTGAACACGTTGTGGGGGAGATATGAAAATGCTGTTGACAAGGTATGCCTGAAAAGTTTGTGTCAAAATTCTTTGAAGTTTCTGTAGCTTCCCCAGATTTTTTTGGAAAATTTTTTATTCACATTGCTAAGTACCTGCCACCTGCCTTATTGTCCCCAAATTTCCTGCTATAGAAAATTTAATACACATGGTAAAAGTATGAACACCCTATATTCTAAAACAGATAGGTTGAATAATTTGAAAAATATGTGTTCAACCTGTTTTAGGAGTTTCATAATTAAGAGAAGGTGTATTTCTTGAATGATTGAGTGCTGACAATTCTTGACATGACCAGAGCAAAATACACAATTCATATCAACAATAATTCCCCTTTGCCCCAACAACTCCTTTGTTTTAAGTCTATTTTGAATGGACAGCCTTAGACAAAATCCTTTTCAGGGAAAAATTTTAGCAGACCAGACATTATTAATCAACTCAAGCTTTGCACTTTTCTTCTTAAGCCAATTCTGATGTGCTTTATTTACCTTGTTTTTGTTCTCTTATGTTCAGTTCCTATGCTAATGTTGTTTTCAATTTTGATTTTCTTTTCCAACTTGATTTTAGGTTGAAAAGAGAAAGATGTTTCATGTTTTCCTGAAGCAATTCTTGATGGTATTCAATAACTGGAAACCTGTTAATGGGGGCCAGCTCCCTGAGGGTGATTCAGCAACTGTTCGATCAACAGAGTATTTATCAGTTTTTGGGTGCTTTGCTGGACATCCCGCTGAAGTCATTTTGGTACTGATTGAAGAGGTCACACAACTAACTACTTTGGTCTCTGAGTGTAAGTTGATTTCTTTCTTTGGTTTCATAAGATTGGGTAGAGCTTATGGTTGTGGCCTAGTGTGTGTGTGTGGGGTGGGGGGGGCGGGGGGGTTGGAGTCAAAGAATAAAGCTTTCTATCTTGGCACTTCATGGAATATCCTTTTATAATTATTCCTATGGTGGAAGTTAAAATAGTTTTTTACTCATTTTATTTAATAATTAGTATCATTTGTTGATTTAGGTTGCCTTACAACATTGGAATGTGAGTTCAAATTTTTACTTCTTTCCTAAATGAAACATTTTTGTATATCTTTTGGATCAGTTTTCTTAGTTAATCCTTCTTTCTATGCTTTAGTGTTTTGTATTCTGTGGTCATCCAAACTTTGCAAAATATGTTCTTGGATCCTTTGAATACCAAGGAAAAAATGTTTATGATTTTCTGGTTTGGCAATTGTTCTTAAAGAGATTTTTCAAAGTGCATTGCATTGCTTTATTTATCATCTTTAGTTTTTTATCTTATGTAGACCTAGTAGACCTAGAAGTGATGCCAATTTCTTTTTTTATTTTATTTTATTTTATTTTAATTTTTACGTTTAAATCTCTTTGACCTCATCCTTTTTTAAGCTCTCTAATATTTCTTTTGTTTCTATGAGGGAAGTTTTCTTTCCTTATAGTTCCTTATCTTTTATTGAGACAAATTCATTTGTTAACAAGAATTTTTTTTCTCCATTTGCAACGTGATTGGTCTCATGTATCTGACTTCTCTGGCCTTTTTCCTTTTATTTTGTTGTTTTCACCTCCAAAAGATCAGATATTAAAGAAGAATGACGAGCATTATTTAAAACCTATTTCCCAGGTTTTAGAGATAAGAGTTGTAACCTCATTGACCTTTGTGGAACACAACAAGTGTGAAAATCTACATATTTAGTTAGAAATTACTTTGTAAAATGGCACATTATGAATGGAGGTTCTATTCTTCTGAAGCTTAACATCAATCAGCTCTGAGAAGCTGTTTTCTTTTTCTCTTTCAACGAGTTTGATTTCTGCAAATCTTCTCATTTCTTGAGTCTGTCTCTGAGTCTAAATTGTTAGAAATGCTTCTATTGGAATATTGTTAACATGTTACTTCATTTAACTTTATTTCCTTAATTTATGGATCCAGTGAATACTAGTGTGATGCGCACAACAACAGACTTGCAATTGGCTTCCATAAGTTTGATCATCACTTCTGAGGGGTTGCCTGTTTTGGAAGCTTTGACAATTATTATTCGGTCAATGTATAATTGCAGAGTTTTTGGCTATTATGGTGGAGTTCAGAAACTCACAGCATTAATGAAAGGTAAGATATAATAATTTGTGTACTTCTATTTGAAAGGTTGATAGTCTGCACTGGATGCTGGAGGGCTTTGATTGTACTGTTGTCCTCAAATACTGAAGTTCAAATGTTCAATGTTGCTTGGAATTGAATTTTCTTCTAGAAGTGTCTTGCTTAGAAAGCCTCAGTTTTCCTTGGGTTTTACCGGCTCCTAAATGTGATTCGGTTATTATTTCTTTGTTTTATTTTAAGATTCTTCAAGTTGATTGTGCATGTGCTATTTATTTTTTTAATCCTTCTGATATGAATTTATTATATTTTTTGTACTGCTTTCTATATTTTACACTTTTACTTGGAACTAACTGTTAGTTTAATACTAATTACTGTATTCATATATAGTTTATTGATTCTACTTATTTCAGGGGCAGTTGTCCAACTCAAAACAATGGCTGTTTCACTTTCCACAGATGAAAACTTGTCTAATGTAATATCAGACAGTATTGGACTATTGCATCGAGTCCTTGTGCATGTGGTGTCTATAATATGTAGCTTTATTGATTTAAATTCAGATGTATATGAGAAGGCTCAGTTGTACAGTAATACCATGGAATTTTCTGTAACCTGTGGTGCACCTTCAGTTGACTCATCTAGAAGTGTAAAGGATCCTTTTTCTGAAACATGGCTGCATTGGCATCAGAAGGCAGTTCTCTCAGTGATGGAAGCTGGTGGGCTTAATTGGTTAGTAGGTAAGGTAGGCAGTTTAAATTTTCATCTTACATGACTTGGTTATATGTTTATTCATGTCAGACATGCCCAGGTTCATTAAACCTTAGGTGGTAGAAATATGGAACCTCCTTAATGTTTTTGTCATCAAGGTATTTTTAGGGTGTGCATTATTATTTGCTAGACTAGACGAAACCTATTCATTTTCAAGTCACCTGTTTACAGCAGTTCATATTTTCTTTTTCTCCCTTTCTCACTAATGGTGTTTTAGGTTGAGAGGAGCATGCTATTTTTCCTTTTGGTTTTGACTTTGGTTTGCAACCACTACTTACCAATTGTTTGTTATTGCAAATTGTTTGATGTAAAGATGTTGTAGGTCACATGTGGAAAGTAATACAAAGTTTAGTTGGTAAATTTAATTTTTCTTTCATTTTTGTTCAGTTCATCCCTGACCCTAAGTACTTCATTATTTTAGAATGCTGACAGCATTTGAGCATATTGGGCAATGGGGATATTTTTTTTTCCTGGGGTTTGATTGCCACCAGACTTCATGAAAACTTAATTTCCATGTTTCTTGTATCCAAAACAAGACATTATCTGTGCAATGATGTGTTTCTTGGGGGTTCAAATTTTCATTTTTTTGGAATGATTTGTTTCCCAGAACTGTTGCGAGTCATCAGACGGTTGAGTATGAAAGAACAGTGGATTGACTTGTCACTTCAGTACTTGACTTTGAGAACCCTTCTTGTAGCATTGTCTGCTAATCCACGTGGTCAAAATCATTTTAAAAGTATAGGGGGGCTTGAAGTTCTATTGGATGGACTTGCACTTCCATCAATTAAAGTTGTTATGAAGAATCTGTCTCATTTTGATATTGGCAGGTAATTCACTTGTTTGGATTGTAAGTTCTTTTGGCAATGATTTTGATTGGTATTCTAAAGAAAGATATTGATGTATGGATGCAACAATACCCTAGTTATGGTGGTCATATGTAGGGTGATAGTTCTCAAAATATGCTGCTGATATGTTTCCAACTACTTGAAAAACAAGTGAGCTAGCTGAAATTATTTCCTGGAATAATTCTGGTAACTCCTAAAAATCTCGACCAGCGTCCTAAGTGGTTATCAACCACATCCTCATTCATGGAACACTTTTAACAGTGTCATTTCTTTTCTTTTTTTTTTTTAAATGCATGCCACTTGACTGTGCAAGGCAGGCTAACACTATCGTGCTTGAGTTTCTGGGTGACATTGTAAAACACATATCCCAGTTTTTGTACATATGATAGAGTGTCTTAAGTTCTCATGGTATAAATAATATGTGTGTGGGTCTGTTCTGGGTGGTTCTAGCCTTTGCTGTGGATTGGTAAAGGCTCACTTCTAAGCACCTTAACTATGGAGATAAAATTGTGACATTTTATCCCAATATACAAGCTGTTCATCCCCAGCTAGCAAACATCATATCCCAAGAGAAAACCCAATTCTAACAGCAGGCTAGTGAAGTTGAATGAGTTAAGATTTCTAAGACTGCTAATCTACTATTTGATATTGTAGGTTGCCAATCAAAGTCATTTCTTTTTCCATTTTTGATACAATATTTTAACATATGCTGCATTTTCTTATTATTCTTTCTTGAAGCTGCTGATCTGCTTGTTTACTTTGATGCAGAGATGAAAACCCTTTGCTGAAAATTTTCCAGCTCCATGTTCTTTCTTTGGAAGTTCTTAGGGAGGCTGTGTATCCTACAGATCAGTTCTCTTGCATGCCTACTTGTACATTTTTCTGCAACTGTATGCATTCCATTTCCCTTATGAACAAGAAATTTTCTATCCTCTTATTCTTATTTGGATAATACCAAGTAATCTGACATTCCTTCACTATGTACTCTGCATGCTGCATTTTATCTGTTCAAGTCAGGGCTTGAGCTGCAGATTTAAATGCTCTCTTTCTGAACCAAGGATTTCATTTAGTTTGACAATAACATCTTTTATAGTTAGCACTGTTCTAATGTAATATTCAGGTACTTACTCCCTTTTGATTAACTCATCTCTTATGGAAGAGTTGGTGTTATTTATGATTCTTGCATTGTTGACCTTAACAAGTATACAGCTTTGGGAATTTGAATAACCTGCAGTTCCTATGTGAAAATGGAAGAGTTCATAAATTTGCTAATAGCTTTTGTTCACCTGCTTTCATGCTTCAAGAGTACAAGCAACAGATGAAGGATGATACTGAAATGTCCATTTTTGACTTCAAATTTGAAAATAATGTTGACAATCATATGGCAGAGAGCTCTATTGTATGTCCTAATAATTCTTCTAATGCTCGCCAATGGAATGATATTGTTGTCCAGTTGAGCAGAGTACTTTGTTCCTTCCTCTGTGAACCAGAAGATGCTAAATCTTGTCTTGGTCAAGTTACTAATAGTCGAATTCCTGTCGCAATTTCTTCTGTGCATGTTGAACTTTCAATTAGATGGGTCATGAGGGTTCTTCTTACAGTTTTCCCATGCATTAAGGCATGCTCGTATCAAAATGAAATGCCAAACTATTTAAGGTAACTGCAACACCACTCAAAATCCCGCAATTTCATTTTGTTTTATTCAGCTCCTGGTTCTCCTCCCCCCTCGCCCCCCCTTTTTTTGTTTATCCTCATCTTTGCTGTTTATTCCTTCTTGTAGGGTGTTTGTCAGTACCCTGCAGCACTTTGTTCTCAGTGCTTTCAGAAAGGCTCTTGTTTCAGCACCTGCATTGCTTGAAGTGTTCCGCAAAGAAGGGGTATGGGACCTTGTCTTCTCCGAGAATGTTTTCTATTTTGGACCAGATTCAGATGAACAAACTGAAGAGTGTTGTCCATTTGAAGACAGCTCTGCTAATAGTAATAAGCTTGAAAAACATTCTTTGGTTGGCATCACTGGTCAAAGAAAATCTAGTGGGGTTGAAGTTCTTCAGATGGAAGTGATTTCATTGGTGGAACTAGCTGCAACTTGTAATGGAAGTGCTCATAACTTGGTATGTTCTTGTCATTACCTTGATATCCTTTGCAAAACATTTACTCTTCTTCGAATTTCTAGGGTTTTGCCTTATCTGAATAGGAGGATATGGACACTTTGTAGAGATATTTGCAAAAATATGATTCCTTGAGAATTCCTGGTGGGTTAAGGGTTTTAAGGCTAAATTTTTGGGTTGTTTGAGGATGAAAGGGTAAATTGTAGGATTGTTTGAGGATGAGAGAGTAGGGAGATTATGGATTGGCTAAGCTTTCTTCTGGAATTTGGTGTAGTGTCAAGATGGGATGCAGTAATCAAGGATGGTGTTGTTACCTGTGAAAAAAACTTTTGTTCTAGGTCGAAATTTTGGGGCTTGATTGAGACCTGTGCTAAAAGTGTTAATCTTGAAATTGGGTTATAAGTGCAGAAAATTAAATAGAAAAGAATCAACTGATATTTCTTTAGGCTTGTGTACTTTGTGCTTCGGAATTTGCTTATGCTTTATTCTTCTGTCTTTCAGCCTGAATGTTCTGCTTTGTTAGATTCCCTAGAACAATCTGCTTGTAATCCTGAGATTGCTAACATTCTTGCAAAAAGTCTGCTTCGAGTATTACAACTTTCAGCTGAGAAAACTACTGCATCCTTCAAGGCGCTTAATGCAGTTTCCCGGGCACTTAAAGTTGCTTGCATTCAAGCCCAAGAATCTAGAAGGCTTGGATATAAAAGCCCTGCTTTTGAGAGAGATCATGAGGTGGTTCCACCTCATAGCCATCAGGGATCTGATTCATGCGAGATAAGCCAGAGTTGGCATAAATGCATGAAAGCATGTATTGAGCTCTTTATGGAATTTTGCTCAATGGCTGATGATGCAAGACATTTGGTTCTGCATGACTCTACTTGTGTTGATTGTTTGTTTGATTTGTTTTGGGAGGAAGGTTTGAGAAATGTTGTGCTTGCGAACATTCTTGACCTTTTGAAGGTACCTTTTCAATATTTTTATCTCAAGTTTCTCATCTGTTATAATCACTTGTTAAGAGAAAGTGCCTTTCTTTTCACCTTTCAGATCACACCACTATCTGAAGAAGATCAAAAAGCAAAATTGCAATTATGTTCAAAATATTTAGAAACATTCACTAGAATGAAGGATCTTGGAAAAAACTTTGTTGTATTGTCTGTTGATCTATTGGCTGGAATGAGAAATATGCTCCAAACTGATCCAGTGGTATATTTCCTGCAATCCTTTTGAACCCCTACTCTCTTTTTTGCCTTCCTTTGCGTGCTTGGTAGGTTTGGCTGTTGGGTTTAAGCATCTTTAGAATCTCACCTATTTCATGTTACCTCAGCATTACCAGGCTTTATTTCGTGATGGGGAATGCTTTCTGCATGTTGTGTCTTTACTAAATGGTAATCTTGATGAGTCAAATGGGGAGAAGTTGGTATTGAATGTCCTTCAAACTCTTACTTGTCTGCTCGCTGGAAATGATGCCTCAAAGGTAATTCTCTTTTCTTGTTTAATGTTTGTTTTATCTTCCTGAAGGAGTTGATAGAATCACATCCTCTTCTTTTTTTCTTTTTTTCTTTTTTTCCTGAGGGCAGACGATTGTAATTTAATTTTTTATGTTCTTATATTTAAGAAGGTTGCGAAGACCTAAAGATTGGTGTCATTGTAAAAGAAAATACAATAAATATAAAGTCATTCCACTTAGTGGGAATATGTTGGGAGATGGCCATTTAAGAAGGCTATAAATTTAGTGGTTTCGATTCTTCTTCTTCTTCCCTATTTTCCCCCCTTTTCTGTCTCCTTTATGTGTGTTTGACTTACTGAGAATATTTTTATAGAAAGCCATTTGAAATGGCTGGCTCAAATGTGATGGAGGCCCAAGGATGCATTTCCATGAATATATATATATATGTATATATATATATGATCCAAATATTAAGAGTAGATTAAAGAAAGGGGCCAAAAATAGTATGGACTTTTATATTAGTAAAAGTTCAATTTTAGGCATATTAAGATTATGATATTGGATTGGTTAAATCAAGGAAAAAGATCTAGGTAATGAAGGTTGTTTCTGGGGGGAGTATAAATTCTATCTAGAATACATTTTATATCTTTGTGGCATTTAGATTTTCCCAACTAAGACATTTGGTTTAGGCTCTCTTCAAGCTACTGGTCTCTGGTGTTTCTTAGGTATAAAATTAAGTTGATATATTCCTGTCTTTTTAAGGCTCCTTGTATCCATTGTTTTATTTTTATTCAGGCTGCATTTAGAGCTCTAGTTGGAAAGGGTTATCAGACATTACAGAGTCTGCTGTTGGACTTCTGCCAGTGGTGTCCAAGTGAAGCACTTTTAGGCGCACTTCTTGATATGCTTGTTGATGGAAAGTTTGAGATAAAAGGAAGTCCTCGTATAAAGGTGACTTGATTTGCATAAAGTCTGTATGAATCACTGTCTAAGCTCTTGCTTTCTAGGTTCTTATCTGCTCAGTTTGTAGAAATATTTTTCTATAATTTGTTCCTGGATCTTTCTTCTCATGTATGGTTCTTCTTCTGTTTTGTTTAGAATGAAGATGTGATCATACTCTACTTGAGCGTTCTACAGAAGGTCAGTGATTACTTTTTCTTACTGTTATCTTCTATTTGATCCTATATTTTTATTAGATTCTAATTGCAACCTCCATAACACTTCTCTTTTTGGATATCTTTTGAATTTTGATGTCATTTTTTGCCATATTGTGATTGGGCAGAGCAGTGAGTCATTGCAGCATCATGGGCTCAATGTGATTCTGCAACTGCTTAGGGATTCCCTCTGTAACCAAGCTTCATGCGTCAGGGCCGGAATGCTCAGTTTTCTTCTTGATTGGTTTGTGCAAGAAGCTAATGATGGTGTTATTTTGAAAATCACCCAACTTATTCAGGTCATTGGTGGGCATAGCATATCTGGAAAGGACATTCGCAAAATCTTCTCTCTCCTCCGAAGTGAAAAAGAGGAGACTCGGCATAAGTACCACTCATTATTGTTAACCAGTGTCTTGGCAATGCTAAATGAAAAGGGACCAACTACCTTCTTTGATCTCAACGGAAATGACTCTGTAAGTCCTTTTGATGTCTTTCTGAGCATTTTAATGTTCTTTTACTCATCATGATGATTCTATTTTTCTTGGCTTAAGTAGCAATTTGTATGAAATATCTTGCCACAAGTCACAGGGGTAATTTGAATGGACAAGTCCGATCATCTTCTGGTTTCTTCATGTATATCTTAACTATGTTTCCAAAATTTTGATTTTATAGCAATGAACAATTTTGTTCAGACGTAATATGGATATATTTTTCTGTCCCAAAAGATCCTATAGTTTTGTTGAATCAATGAGGTCACATTTGGTTCCTTGAATAGCCATTACATGGGAATCAATTAAAATTAAGAGAATAAAATAGAATGAGAATGGGTTCCATCTAACTTGTCTTATACTGTTTTTTATAGGGAAAAAAAACCAGAAATCTGCCCCTGAACAAAGAGCATGTGCTAATCCCCTCTTTAGCTTCACAACTAGTGGAAATTAGCCCATATTTGATGTGGGACATCATCTTTCTGTTTGCTGATGTCACCCTTCTGTCTGACTTGGTAATTATTTGACATGTTGGTGCTGATGTTAGCAAATGGAAATATGCTGTCACACGTCAAATATGGATTTGCACATGTTCTTTTTTTCAGGGGCGGATTTTAAACTGCCTGATAAAGTCAGAGGTAGATTTCCTGTGTTTCCCCTTTTTATAAGTTGTTTTATAAAAGCTAAACCTGGGAGAGAGGAAGTAATAGTTTTTACAAACTTATTCCCACAAATTTAAAACATTTTAGCATACATTAAATAACAATCACTCTCATTCTGTTCTGTTCTAATTCATTATTTTACTCTCGTGTAATGCCTATTCAATGAACTAAATGTGACATAAGTTCTTGTACGTAGAATAGAATGTGTATAAAGAAGGTAAAATTTATTAAGTGATTTTGCATCCCTATCTCAATTATTAAATTAACTAGGTAGCTACCTTTCTGTTAATTTAAAGTTACCAATAATTGCTCATTGATAAAGAGCTACTGATAATTATTAAAGATTAAATAAATGTTATAAAATGTTTATAGATGCTCTTAAATTATGTCTCTACTTACTGGGGCAAGGGTTCTAAACAAGGTACCTTATAAACAGGTAAACCACCACCAACTCAAGCTCCAACAAATTTTCACTGGGGCTTATCAAATTGCAATTCTTGGCCTTGATCATGAAAACAATTACAATCCATAAAATATAACCCTAAGTTGCTAAATCAAGATTACAAAATAAAAAATATGGGCTTATATTTTCTAATGGATGCTTTCTACTAATACCTATTTCTGATTGACATTCTGAAGTACATGGAATTTATGGCAGACTGGGAATTTCAATTGCATGCATTTGCTGCAGTTCCTTGTATTAAATACACTATTTTCTTGACTCATTTCTATTTTTTATGCAAATTTGTGTCTATATTATCTTTAACCACGATCTGAATCTGATATTCTATTCATTTTATTTATTCTTGTAGGGCATCATGATCAAAACGCCCCTGCAGTGGCCTCTCAATAAAGGTTTTTCTTTTTCATGTTGGCTTAGGGTAGAAAACTTCCCTGGCACTGGGACAATGGGCCTTTTCAAATTTCTTGGAGAAAATGGAAGGGGGTGCTTAGCAGTGCTTTCTAAGGACAAGCTTATTTATGGGGTAAAATTTTATTTATCTCTAGGAAGTTTCTTCTAATGCCATTGCATATTTGAGCATATTTTCAGATAAAGAATAAGCTTTCTTTTTCTATTTTGAGGATTATTTTTGCCTTTTTTTTAAGCAAAAAAAAATTCATGTCTTTGTTTCCAACTTCATGCAGCTAGTGATATATCTATTTCTATGTTTTACAGTCAATCAATCTGAAGCGTCAGTGTGTTCAGATGAATGTTAATCTTGTGAAGAAGAGATGGCATTTCCTTTGTATTACACATAGTATTGGAAGACCATTTTCTGGGGGTAGCCTTTTGAGGTGTTACATTGACGGTGATCTTGTATCTTCAGAAAGATGCAGGTTCTACGCCATCTGCAGTTATTCTCTGCTTTTTCTTTTGTTTGTTTTCTTTGATCAGCAAGTTATTCTCTGCATTTGCATTTTACTTTATTAGGAAAAAAATTCAATTTAATATACTTTTTCAACATTGATAAATTCCTTTTTAATCTTTAATATTTTGCGTTTCAGATATGCAAAAGTTAATGAATTATTGACAAGCTGCTCCATTGGCACAGAAGTTATTTTGCCTCAGAATGAAGGAGATAACGCTCTGGATCACATTCAAGATTCATTTCCTTTTTTAGGTCAGATTGGTCCTGTGTATTTGTTTAGCGATGCCCTTTCTTCTGAGCAAGTGCACTCAGTGTATTCCCTGGGACCAAGCTATATGTACTCTTTCCTTGATAATGAAGTCACACCTTTCTCTGATAACCCATTGCCTGGTGGAATTCTTGATGCTAAAGATGGTCTTGCGTCCAAAATTATATTTGGAATCAATGCACAGGTTTCTCATTTTCCATTAAAAATTTCATTTCTCTGAGATTGCTCTCTTCTCTAGGCAAACTCTTAGACGTTAATCTGTTTTTCAGGCAAGTGATGGCAGAAAATTGTTTAATGTCTCTCCAGTACTGGATCATACGTTGGATAAGAATTCATTTGAGGCAACTATATTGGTTGGTACACAGTTATGTTCTAGACGCTTGCTCCAACAGATAATTTACTGTGTTGGTGGTGTATCAGTGTTTTTCCCTCTTATCACTCAGTCTGATAGATATGAAGATGAAGAAAGTGAAGTTTCTGAAAACACACTGATTATGCCTATCAGTAAAGAGCGCATGACGGCTGAGGCTATTGAGCTAATAGCTTCTATCTTGGACGAGAATTTAGCAAATCAACAACAAATGCATCTTCTTTCTGGATTTTCAATACTGGGATTTCTATTGCAGTCAGTTCCACCCAAGCAACTGAATTTGGAAACACTTTCAGCATTGAAGCATTTGTTTAATGTTGTGGTGAACTGTGGTATATGTTATGAGCCATCTCGAGTTCAATTGAAGAGGCAGTCATTTATTTTCTTTGGCTAATTGTTGAAATTGTTTAATTATCATTTGCACCTATTCTTGTATGTTTCTCATTTTTTTTTTCTTTTTGTTTCCCCTTAGGTTTGTCAGAGTTGTTGGTGAAAGATGCTATGTCTGGCATTTTTCTCAATCCCCTAATCTGGCTTTACACAGTTTACGAGGTGCAACGAGATCTGTACATGTTTCTTGTCCAACAGTTTGATAATGATTCAAGATTGCTGAAGAGTCTATGCCAGCTCCCACATGTTATTGATATAATACGGCAGTTCTACTGGGATAATGCAAAATCTAGGTTTGCAATTGGAGGCAAGCCTCTTCTACATCCTGTTACCAAACAAGTTGTTGGAGAAAGACCCAGTAGAGAAGAAATACGTAAAGTCCGCCTTCTTTTGTTAAGTCTTGGTGAAATGAGTCTCAGGTATGCTGTTTTTCTCCAGGTGCTTGAATCCGGTATTCACAGAATATTTTTTCATCTTTCCTTTTAACAGATATGGCTTGACATGGCTCATGATAATCTTTTTCTATTTCTTGAGTTCTTATGCATAAGTGTACCTATGCAGGCAAAACATTGCACCAGCAGATATAAAAGCTCTTGTAGCCTTCTTTGAAACAAGCCAAGATACAACATGCATTGAGGATGTACTACATATGGTCATTCGTGCTGTTTCTGAAAAGTCATTTCTTGCTCCCTTCCTTGAACAAGTTAATCTGCTTGGCGGCTGTCACATATTTGTGAATCTTCTACAGAGGTCAGCTGCCTTCAGCAGGGAATTTAATGAGCAAATTTTAGCAAGAGAACACATGGTTAACCTCTTTGTTTCATAAAAGAATATGTAGAATGTTTACCAGAACACTTTATGGTATCTGTTAATAATTCATTTTCTTCCTTCTATTCCAAACAATGAGTTACTTACTTGGAAATCTGCTTAAGTTATCTTTTTGGTATCAATGGTAGTGGGTGTAAATTGTCTGATGGTTATTTGATTTACTTTTCATAGGGAATATGAACCTATCAGATTGCTTAGCTTGCAATTCCTTGGAAGACTTTTGGTTGGTTTTCCATCTGAGAAGAAGGGCTCGAGATTTTTCAATCTTGCTGTTGGAAAGTCTAAATCCATTTTAGAAAATAACAGGGGAATTAGTTCAAGGATGCCAGCAATCTTCTCAGCTATATCTGATCGGTTGTTTAAATTCCCACAAACAGATAATGTGTGTGCTGCCTTGTTTGATGTTCTTCTAGGTGGTGCCAGCCCCAAACAGGTGATCAGCCAAAATAGAAAAATATATTTTTTTCATTCTTTTCTTTTAGTTTTCATTTTTTCCTCACCACTACTTATCAGGTGTGTTTCTATATGTTTATGTATATATATTCTTTGTTTATTTAGATTTTTATCTCCCTTATCAATCTCTTGAAAATTAATTTCGTAGGTATTACAGAAACACAATCAGGCTGATAAGCGGAGAAGTAAAGGAAATAGTTCTCACTTTTTCCTTCCCCAGATTTTAGTTGTTATTTTCAAATTTTTGTCTGGCTGTGAGGATGCCTCTGCGAGAATGAAAGTTATCAGTGATTTACTCGATCTTCTTGATTCAAATCCTTTGAATATTGAAGCTCTGATGGTAATTCTGTTGATTTTTTTAATTTTGCCTTTTAAAGACAAACGATCTAAGCTGTCAGATCTTGCAATCAGGAATATGGATGGAATGCTTGGCTAGCAGTTTCTGTAAAGCTGGACGTGGTAAAGGAGTACAGGCTTGAGTCAAGAAATCCAAGTGACAGTGAAATAAATGAGCAAAAATATGTGAGGAGCTTTTTCTCTGTTGTGCTTTGTCACTACATTCATTGCATAAAAGGTGGTTGGCAGCAGTTAGAAGATACAGTAAATTTCCTGCTTCTGCACTGTGAACAAGTATGTTAAATTCCTCGCAATGCTGTACACACTACATACTCATATGTGCATGTTTTATTTGTTACAGTGCCATATGCACGAAGACACATGAATTTATGTCTTAATTTACTCTAGAAATCATGTTTTTTCGAAGTTTTAAATGTGTCAATACTGTTGTTACTGACGAGAAACTAACACCGTGTCACTAATTTTCCTTTGTCTTTTTACCATGGTAGGGTGACATAGCTTATCGGTACTTTCTTCGAGATATATTTGACGACTTGATTGGGAGGCTGCTGGGCTTGTCTTCTGAGGAGAATATTTTTATTTCACAACCCTGTCGGGATAATACATTATATCTCCTGCGGCTGGTTGATGAAATGCTCATTTCTGAAATTGACAACAAAATTCTGGTACAAACTTATCTCAAACTTACCAGGACTTTTATGTATCATTCATAAAATAGTTTCTGCATGTACTTCATCTGCACTGTATTCTCAATGACCCACTTTAAGGACACAGAAATGCATGCTTAAATAAAAAGAAGAAGGTTACATTACACAAAAGGGTAAATAAAGCCCTTATGGTCTTAACCCATTGGATTTGGCTCCGGTGGCAGGGATGGATGTGAACCATGTCTGAGAACTTAGGTTCTAGTCCCTCTATTGTCATTTGGGTGCAAACAATTCCAATGGGACATGCCCTGCCAACCTCAAAGGTGGAGCTTTGCCTGGTGACTGTGGATGGGTATCTTTACTGGTATCTGTGGGATGAATTGGCCCAAAGGCCTGGATACCTATGTTATCCAAGGAAAAAAAAAAAAAAGCTCTGATGGTCTTAGGTTTTTATTTTAGATTTATCTTGTAGGATTTTGTGATTGCATTCAGTGTCATATTTACTTCATCATACCTTTTTTTTTTTTCTTTTCTTTTCCTTTTGTGTGTGTGTGTAAACATTCACACTCTGATTTGGATTGTTAATATGAGATTCTGAAAAGGTTAGTCTCAGTTATCTTATGATGTAGGACAGATTTGATCTATTTTATTTTGATTTTGGAAAATTTTTTATGGGATTTAGGGCTAGCGTTTTGTGGTTTTAGTGCTATTTAAAAGAATTTAAGGGTGAATTAGGGTTTGCTTTGATGTATAGAACAGCAGCAGGAAGCAAGGTTTAGCTTAACCTTTATTATTAACTTGAAATACTGAAGCCACTAGAAAACATTTGACATCCAGCTGCAATGATACTTACATTCTCATTAATCTTTTCTGACCTTACATATTTCCATTAATCAAAAGCCACCCCATCATGAGAGGTTCATAGGTATTTATCATACTCATATGATACTCCTTAACTGCCTAAGATAGTTTGCAAACAGTTAAATGCCGAATATCCCACATTAGTCGAGTTTGGGGTTTCTTGTGGTTTTATGTCCAAGTTTGCCTCAACCAATTAGGATGTGTGTTGCAAATTGTATTTACCACATTGGTTATGTTTGGGTTTCCTTGTGGTCTTATACTCAAGTTGAGCTTTGCCAACTATTGCCAATTGATTTTATGTTGGATGATTGACATGGTATGACAGCTCACATTTGTTGTTGCCCCCATTTTCTATTCAGCCCTTCCTGTCATCCACATCCAAGGCTTCATGTTCTTGTTCTACCAGATGCTTGACACAAACATATTAGGATATCAGTGCTATAATATATAACTAACTCACATTCAAGATGATAAGACCTAATAAAAACTAAAACTCCTTCTGACTCCTAACATAACCTAAACTTTCCCAAATAAAATTAATAATCCTAGAGTGCATGCATTGAAGAAACACAATTTTGCACGTATAACTAGTAAAATAAAACCCAAACTGCTTCGATGAAAATTAAACAAGGAATTAATTGGATTCTTGTGTGTTTGCATTCTTGTACAAATGAGTGTACTCAAGCAAATGGACAATTCAAAGTGGTATCATTTCCATGAAAATTTCATAGTTCTTTCCATCATTACTTATCTTCTCATATAAAAGCATTTTCTTTGATACTAACATGTTAACATCTAATACTTGAGATATCTTTTTGATTTTCACTTATGCAGTTTGCTAATACTCATTGTGGGAAGATATTGATTTGTCACCTTTTTTGCAGTTTCCAGCTAATATCACTGAATTTTCTCTGGATTCTTTGGAGGAAGAAAGTCAGAAAGATTATAATTCTGTGTTATATGAGGTCTTGCAAGGAGAATTTGATGAGATAATACCAAGGTAGGGCCAACTTGATATTCATTCCTTTTTTTTCCTGAAACTGATATTGAACTTTATATCTAATATGTCTTATCTGTTTATGCATCAACTTGTTTGGCATAAAATCTGGTGGAGTAAAATATTAAATAAAAATTCTTGGGGCTTTTCAGTTTTTTTTTTTTTTTTT